TGATTCTGCTCTTTAAAGCTGAATTGGTTTGCTTAACGGGGGGACTTAACCGAGAAGAATCCAAAACCAGAGAAAATTTGGAAGAGGTGGGATGTTTAACAACAGCAAAACTATATCATTACTAAAATGCTTTCTTAGCAACGTCGTGGCAATGTAATTGTCAACTGGATTATGTTCGGATATAACGTTTCTTTCAGGTAACGAGACTCTACATTCATGTACCACACAAGCATCACAAGGAGGGGGTTTGGGAGGACAGCAGGCAGACAAAGTGTAGGACCTTGTCACCAGAACAACAGAAGCACTTTGGTTAAGGTGAGGTAAAGACTGTGATTTCCGTAAAATGTTAATTAAAAGGGTAATTTAAAAAAAGTCATGCTACAAGGAGATATTGTGTTGCAGGATTGCCTATTTTGGTGGAAAGCAACTGAAAATGTGCCATAGCGAGCAACAAATTAGCCAATTAGCAACATCTTCTCATTATGTTAATAGAAAACGTACTTCGCTCAGTATTACGTTTCCCGCAAAACACATTTGCTGTTTTAAATTACTTGTATTTAAATGTAATTTCTAGGGGACAGAGCAGGTTTGGGAAGTACTGAGCATTCAAAAGGAAAATGAGACTTGGATTATACAGCACGAATAGTGTGAGAGTTTATAAAAAATATTTTGATATAGTTTTGCTGTTGTGAAACATGGACCCCTATTAACAGTTTTCTCTGTTTTTGGATTCTTCATTCACTGTGGAGGCATGCAAGAAAAACTTTTCTTTCTTTCTGAATTGAATGTAACGTGGAGTGAGTGTTTAATGTACAAATTTTCATATGAGGGGTGAAGCATTCCATTAAATGGCTTCTTTGTGCTTTTTCTCTGTATGACTCACTCTGTCAATTACAACAGAAGCTGCCCAGCATTAATAAACTGGGACTCATTAATGATAATTCCTGTTGGAGGTTTTAAAATGAAGCAGGTGTTTTCCTTAATTTAATTTGTGGATGTTCTTTTGTTTGTTCTCTTTGGGAAATCAAAAGTGTAGGAGAGTGGCTGCATAAACAGCTATCAGAAGGAGGAGACAGGTCTCTACCACAGGGTGTATCAAAGTAAAGAATTTAGACCGGCAATAGCAGACTTTAGCGGTGCTTCATGGAGCGTTCTCCAACACTGGAGAGCCTGATTTTGCCAAATGGGTTCAAGCTCCAATTGCAAGGACTATGCCCATATTCATTCTGTTACCTGTTCTTTGTTGATTTACAGTTAAATTATGTCTTCTGTTGCATTATGTTGTTGGACACATTAATCATTGAATATCAAATGCGATAGATGAAAGTGTTTTTAAAGACTGAACACAACAATTAAAGCATTCTTCAGACATTCTTAGGCAAGGCAAAAACTTTTATATTAAAATGCTTTATATCAGTCAGACATATTGATTTTGACCTTGCAGGGTATTCACAAGGGCAGCAACCATAAAAACAGATGGATGCACCTGATGCTCTATGACTCATACGCACAATACACCAGAAAGGATAATATTCCCACAAATAAAACCAATGAGTGCCTGAAAACCTTTTTATTCTTCCGCCTCTTTAAGAGCACCAAAAAGAATCTAATTTTCAAATGGACAGATAAGCTGATGACAGACCAGCTGGTACTAAGTAATTCAGCCCAAAGGACAGCGCAGAAAATGTCCAGTGGACTATATTTCTAAAAACCAGATATGACATAATGTCAAGATTCTGCAGGAATAATTGATATATTTCTTCCTTGGAAAATTGGATGCTCCCTTAAGGCTTCAGTGTGCTTTTCTTCTCCCCAGCAGAAAGATGGATAACATCTGGGTCGATGGAGTAAAGAGTCGCCATGGAAACTTCAGGCCGCTTCAGGACATGAACCAATTACAAAACAACTGCCATGCAAGAATAATAAGCCTGTGATAAAGTGTCTGCTATTAATTTTAACTAAGTTCAAAACCATCATCATCATCATCATCATCACGCCTAGGTTCTGATAGCGCCTGTATTGAATCCACCTGATTAACACCAATAAATTAGAACGTGTAAACAGTAACAACTTCAAATGTGTGCAAACCTCAGAGGACAAGTGGCCCATGAGATAACATAAGCCGCTGTTCTCAGGTTACATAGCATGTGCATCATCTCTGTCGTCATTTCCAGATGGTTATCCCCTGAACTGATCTGTCAGCACTGGTCTGGCTGAGATTCACATGCTTGCATAATGAGAATACAGCTGTTTTCAGACCTGTTCAGTGCAGGTCAATAACATAGGCTGAAGGCTGAGGATGATCAATGGATATAAAAAAATGATAAAATATTTTCTAACTGAGTCTATGCATGTTTACTTATATGGATAGTATTTGATTCTTAAGGGCAATTTTAGAAGGATTAAAAAAACTTCATTTATAAATCTAGTTGTAATAGTATATTTTATTTATATATAAATCGGGAAAAAATATTTCACAAATTAAATCAAAATGTCCCAAATCCAGGAAAATCCTTAAATATTTCAGGCGCAAATCTGCATATCAAATTTTACACATCCATACATTTGGGAGTATTCTAAGAGGCGGATTTTAGCCAGTGACTTTAGGGATGGCAACGTTGGTAGATGTTCAGGACAACAAAAAATACCTTGGGGTCCCACAGACAAATGGGAACCATGAAGAGGCCGTAAGGAAGTCAGCCACAGCCAAATACCTACACAGTGTAAAGCAGGTCCTGACAAGTCAGCTGAATGGAAAGAACAAGGTCCGAGCCATCAACACACACCCTGCCAGTCATCAGATACGCAACTGATGTAATAAGCTGGCCAAAAGAGGAGATAGAGGCCACTGATATCAAGATAAGGAAGCTTCTCACAGCGCATGGATTGTTTCATCCAAAGTCCAGCACCCTGAGACTGTACACTAAGTGGAACGAGGGAGGCCGACCACTCGTGAATGTCAGAGCCACTGTCCAGGATGAAACAAACAAGATCCAGGAATGTATCGGGAAGATGGCCCCCAAAGATGAGCTGCTAAGTGAATACCTAAGGCAGCAGAAACCTGAGAATGCAGAAGAGGAGAAAGAACCATCATGGCAGGACAACCCACTGCACGGCATAGAAGAAGTGGCTGACATCAAGAAATCCTACCAGTGGCTGGAAAAGGCTGGACTAAAAAACAGAAGCACTAATCGAAGCACTAATCATGGCAGCACAAGAACAGGCACTTACTACAAGATCAATAGAAGCAGGGGTCACCAGACAGGACCCAAGTACAGGCTGTGCAAAGATGCTCCTGAGACAGTTTAGCACATATTAGCAGGGTGTAGGAGGCAGGTAGGAACAGCGTACATGGAATGCCAAAACCAAGTGGCTGGCATAGTGTACAAGAACATCTGCACTGAGTATGGGCTGGAAGTCCCGAGGTCAGAATGGAAGACCCCTCCTAAGGTGGTTGAGAATGACCAGGCAAAGATCCTGTGGGACTTCCAGATCCAGATAGACAAACTGGGTATGGCTAACCAAACGGACATTGTTTTGATGGACAAACAACAGAAGAAGGCAGTGGTGATAGATGTAACAGTCCAGCGCAAGAGCAACATCAGGAAAAAAGAACACAAGAAGCTGGAAAAATAAGTAGGGCTGAAAGAAAAGCTAGAAAAGATGTGGGGAGTAATGGCAACAGTGATGCCAGTGATAATCGGAGCACTCGGGGCTGTGACCCCCAAACTGGGAGAGTGGCTCCAGCAGATTCCAGATTCAGGTCTATGTCCAGAAGAGTGCAGCCATAGGAACAGCTAAGATACTGCACAGAACCCTCAAACTCCCAGGACTCTGATAGAAGACCCAAGCTTGAAGAAGACACACCACCACCCCCATTGGGATGAGACCTGACTGATGAGGACACAAGAACCTCTGGGGAAAAGTTATGAGCTCTCATGGTATCTGTCTCAGAAAAAGTCCAGATCCATCCATCATACTATACTACAGTGGACTCTTTGCGTCTGTTTAATTTTCACAGACAGATTAGTTATGCTGCAGAAAAAGTTAATCATAATAAATTATGCATTGCCACACTTTTGAATTCTTACTTTTTCTTCATGTAAGAAAATTATTTTTCAAAATAATATCTAAATACATTCATTATTTGCTAAATATTAACCATATCTGAATATATGATACACCATGTTTGCCAACATTTCATAATTGTTGTTAATTATTGTAAAATCTACTGCATGTTGATGCCCTCACATACATCACGTGGCAATATATTTTTCAGTATGCAGTTCACCTTAATGTGGTCATCATCATAATCAAAACATGCCTGAGGAATGATGGGTATGGTGGAGTGTATGTGGAAAACATTAGAGTAAGAGAAAATGAAAAGGCAAAAGTCATACAGGGCGCAGTTAAAAAAAGGAAAAAAGAAGAAGAACACAGATATATGCACATTTGCAAATACCACATTTTAATTAATTTTTTTTTTTTTTTTTTTTTGTTTTTTTTTTTTTTTTTTTTGTTTTGTGTGGGGGGGGGGGGGGGGGGGGGGGGGGGGGGGGGGGGGGGGGGGGGGGGGGGGGGGGGCACCAGGGGAAGATTGCCCAGGGCACCAAATTTGCTTGGTCCAGCACTGACTGAGTATATGTCCATATGTTTGTTTGTTTTTTTTGTTTGTTTTTTTACAAAAAATATTTATTATCTGACTTGTTTTAATGAAGTAAGACTGGATGCTTGATGTACTGGCTTGTTAATTATTCAAACAGTATATAAGAGTATTTCTGTTCATTCCCCTGCCACTGGCTGCAGGTCACTGGAAACAGTGGGAAGGTATTGGTGGGATCTTCTGCACGCAGTGTGGTGACGTTGGAAGGCAGGGAGCAGCCTTTAAATGCACAATCTCCATCCAAGCTCTGTTAAAGAGAAACACCAACCTGAGCTACATGTGAAGGACATGCGTCTTTTATACCAACATGTAACTTTTGGAAAATAGTGTAAAAAAGATGGAGCTACAAGTGGAAAACCAAAGTCAGCCTTTCAACACCAACACTGTGAGGCTGCCAGCTAAACCTATCCTGGAGATGGGTGTAGATAACTTTATTTCTCTCCTGATATTTGGACTTATTTTCATCCTCGGTGTGCTTGGGAACACCATGGTGATCACGGTGCTGGCGCGCAGCAAACCGGGACAACCGAGGAGCACAACCAACATCTTCATCCTCAACCTGAGCGTGGCGGACCTGTCCTACCTCCTCTTCTGCGTCCCCTTCCAGTCCACCATCTACATGCTGCCCACATGGGTGCTGGGAGCGTTCATCTGCAAGTTCATTCATTATTTCTTCACTGTGTCCATGCTGGTCAGTATTTTCACCTTGTCCGCGATGTCCGTGGACCGCTACGTGGCCATCGTCCACGCCAGGAAATCCTCGTCGATCCGGGTGGGGAGGCACGCCATGCTCGGAGTGGTGCTCATCTGGATCCTGTCTTTGGTGATGGCAGCGCCCGTTGCGCACTACCAGAGCATCGTGGAGAGGGAGGACAACAACACCTTTTGCTGGGAGGTTTGGCCGGATCACCAGAGGAAAGTTTACGTGATGTGCACTTTTGTTTTCGGATACCTCCTGCCGCTCACTTTGATCTCTGTCTGCTATGCAAAGGTGGGTGCGCATGGTTTACAGTGAATGAATGCGCGTAAATCTACAGTGTTAATGGAAGATTTTCACAGGTTGGTATAAATACATAGCGCAGTTTGATGCAAACATGATTTTTAGTGTAAAAATCTTGACTTATCAGCAACAGTGGTTTATAATCGATAAATGAAACATTATCTGTCAAAGCAGCTGACATGATTCTGTGCTTACTGTAGATGTGATGATATGCAAAAGTGTCAAAATAACTCTAATAGCAGGTGCCACATTGATTTAATATGTTACTGGAAGAAATAGGTCTTTAGAAAATGGAGCAAAAAGGCACAGCAGTCATTCACTGTATCACACTTTTATTGTTGTAGGTTTTAAACCATCTGCGCAAAAAGCTGAAGAATGTCTCCAAAAAATCAGAGCTCTCCAAAAGGAAGGTTGGTAGAAGATAATTCCTGTCTCTCTGTTCATCACGTTATAGAATAATCATATAACTGGAGTAGGGCTGCAATGATCATTTATACTGTTGATTAATCTGTTTATTATTTTATTGATTAATCAGTTAGTTGTTTGGTCTATAAAATGTCAGAAAATGATTAAAAAAGTTGATCAGTGTTCCAAAGCCCAAGAAGACATCATCAAATTTCTTATTTTGTCCACAACCCAAACATATTCAGTTTATGGTCATAAAGGAGTAAAGAAACCAGAAAAGAAGCTGTAATCAGACAATTTTGACTTTCCTTTAAAAAAAAACGTACTCAGACCGATTAGTTATCAAATTAGTTGGAAATTAATTTGAAATGAATTTGTGAAAACTATTGGATTAATCGTTACAGTTCTGAAATTACCTGAAGATGTGGGAATAATGTGAAAATGTCCCCCTATTTCTCCTGTAATGACTGATTGGTTCATAATGGACCAGGTCTGCGGTGCTGGAGAGGTAAGTGTGCACAACGCTCATTGAAAAAATGGCTGTACAATGTAGTCTTGCAAAGAGCTGAAAAGACTGATTGATCATTGATCAGTTTAAAAAAAAATAGCCTGCAACTCTTTTGATGATCTCTCAATCATTTTCAGGCAAAAATGCCAGAAATTTGCTGAGTCCAGCTTCTCTTATATGAAGATTTGCTGAAAGTAAATGAAATATATTCAGGTTTTCGACATTTATTACATCTGAAGATGTTAACTTTAGTTCTGAGAAACTGGGATGAGTGCTTCCATCACTTTTTGACATTTCATAGACTAAACAATTAACTCTAATGAAAAAATGTTACTTGCCAGCCCAGTAGCCAAGAAGAAAATGCTGACATTGAATGTTTCTGCAAACCACGAATACGCTACATCTGCACGTTTCAGATCTATCACATCAACCTTTAAAAAGTGACGTATAGTATTCGAGCTGATGGAGGTGGAGGGGATGTTGGATGGCATGTCAGACACTTGCCAAGTTACAGACCACTGCTGGAGGCCAACAAACAGTGAAAATGGATGTGACTTAGCGAGTCTGCTGTGTTTCCAGCAGCTTTTGAGATGCCACTTATGTGTGTTTTGGGATATTCTCACGAAATGCAGTTGTGTTTTCTTCTGCAGAGACGTCACTGTGTTTACTGCCGAGGTAGTGCCATGAAAAGCGTTTGGTATTTTACCAAGACATATCTGTGTTGCCTGCCAGAATAGTACCACAAACAGGGGTTATTTCTTACAAAGACATCGCTGTTTTTTCAGCAGGGATAGTGGCATGAAAGGCCAATGCTTTTTTCTCTTTTCCAGCAGGGATTGTGCCCCCAAAACTGGGTATTTTAAGCCAAAACATGATCTTTTTCTTACCATAAAAAAGTGGTATGGTACCTAACCCTAACCACATGTTAACCACAGCATTGCTGAAACATAAAGCTTCAACATATCTGCTACATAATAATGTGCCAATGTGAGGTATCTGTGATTTGCAGAAACGGTGAGAAATGATTATGTGTGAAACGTTGGAAAAAATGCAATCAGTAGAAATGCATGTTTTGTCATCTTTTTAGGATCAACACTAAACTATCCATAAAATATTAGTTATTTTACTTTTTACACATGATGTTACTCATTATTATCTGATGTTAACCATCCTTCACAGACAGTTATATTTGATCACATATCATGATATTATCTCCACAGACTGCTCAGACCGTCCTGGTGGTGGTCGTGGTCTTCTGTCTGTCGTGGTTGCCTCACCACATCGTCCACCTGTGGGTGGAGTTTGGCTCTTTCCCCCTGAACCAGGCCTCCTTCGTCTTCAGGATGCTGGCTCACTGCTTGGCCTACAGCAACTCCTCTGTCAATCCCATCATCTACGCCTTCCTGTCGGAGAACTTCAGGAAGTCCTACAAGCAGGTTTTCTGGTGCCGGCTGCCCAGCAAGTGTCCTATGAACGACACCAGGGAGCTCCGCAGCAGGATGGAGACGGCACCGTCCACTAACATCAGTGTGGCTTATAAAGGTCATGAGTCTCAGATCAGTAAAATGCTTTGATGTTGCTGCTTTTTTCTTGCTCTTTTTGTTCTGTATAGAGATAGTGGATCTTTGAGGCCAATACATATATTGATCTGTTTAAGATTTTAAAAAATACATTATATATATTTCTTTTTTTAACATACTGTGAACAGCTGTGTTTGAAGAGAGCTCTGTAAAACTCAACAATGTTACTGATTACTCATTTTTATGAAACATTTTAAACATTTTATTAATAAGGTAGTCTGGGTGTATATATGGTAAGTATCAGGCCTGTTTCCTGCTCCAACAAACCACAAGAGGAGGAAAAACTTGGCAGCTGTGTGAGGTACAAAAAGTGCTACAAATTAGAAAGAAACAGTCCCTTAAGGATTTTGTAGGGCCTAAAATGTGTGATGTCATGGCAGCTTTTCTCAAAAAATGCAATGCACGTTGCAATGTCTTTTTTTTTGCACTGTGGTTGTGGAAGCAGGTGAAAACTGTAAAAAATTAGTTGCATTTGTTTTTATCCCCCCCAAAGTTACACCTGATGCAAAACAGTTTCCCCCTCCTTCTGTGCAGAACATCAGGGAATTGCCTTGCATGGTGTTTACCAGTAACCGTAGTAGGCAACTACAGTTAAGATTCTGGTGATCGGACAAAATTGCAAGGTCACACAGAATTCACAGGGATGGGTTGAATTTGAGTTAATTGTTGTGATTGTAGGGAGCCCTGTGCGGATTGTTGGGGAATCTTCTCTCAATATAGCACTTACGACTTCTGTGCGGAGTTTGCATGTTCTCCCTGTGTCAGCGTGGGTTTTCTCCGGGTACTCCGGTTTCCTCACTCTCAGCAAGAAAGCCAGTAAAATATTTCCCAAAATTCCTTTATTTTCTGTAACCGCTTATCCAGTTGACGGTTGCGGGGGGGCTGGAGCCTATCCCAGCTGACACTGGGCGAGAGGCAGGGTACACCATGGACAGGTCACCAGACTATCACAGGGATGACACATAGAGACAGACAACCAATCACGTCTACAGACAATTTAGAGTCACCAGTTAACCTGCATGTCTTTGGACTGTGGGAGGAAGCCAGAATACCCCTAGAAAACCCATGCTGACATGGGTAGAACATTCAGACTCCGCACAGAAGGGCTCCCACACCCTGAGTTCGAACCAGGAACCTTTTTGCTGTGAGGCGACAGTGCTAACCACTACACCACCGAAAATGTTACTTAACTTTAACACTTTTTCTTAATTAAAAAAAAGGAACTTCTCAATGTCCCTCTAGTGGGCAAACTGTACTGAAACTTCATTCCTATTGGCAGACAAAAACATATTGATGAGATCTTTCAAACATTATGTTCAATGCCAACATTTATAAAATCATTGTTTTCTACAATATGGTATATACCATATGGTTAAAGGGACATTTCACTCCAAAAACATAAGTACATATTTTTTTTCTTTTACCTGTAGTGCTATCTATCGTTCTAGATTGTTTTGGCGTTAGCTGCTGAATGTTGGAGACAGGGGCGATTCTAGGACCAGAGGTTTAGGGGTGCTGAGCACCCAGAGAGCTGCCCGGCCAGGCAAGATAAATTTCACTGTTTTGTACATTTTAACGCAATTTCATTCCCACATTTGTGAAAGAAAAGCACTTTTTGGGAAAGTCTCTGCCTAACCCTTCAAATCTGATAAAGGTTATTTAAATGCTGAGCCACAGCAAAAGAGGAATGGATTGGAATCATAAAAGAAACATATCGTAACCCTAATTTCTGGGGGAAGACAACTCATTTTGATACAGCAGCTCCTCAACATACACATAAACAGTATGTATGTTTCTGGAGTAAACCAGCCCCCTATAGTGAGTACCAAAAATACCAAAAATGGACCTTGGACTTATTTTTTGGACTTTTATTTGAAATGAAATGCACAACATGTAACATTAACACATTTACAGTAACTGACTTTTTCAATGTTTGTCTCTGCCTTTTTCCTTCTTGTCTTCATTATATATAATACAAATACATAAATAAAAATACACTTATAAAAAAGAAAAGTGCTTGAAATCTACAAAATAATAATAATAAATACTCACAATAGGAGTTACAATGTTAATGGGCATCCAGTCAGTTAGCTAGTCAGTAGCACCTTGGCTTTAATATTAACACATGCACATGACACAACAGCTAGCTTCTCCCATTCCAATTCAAACAGAGGACAGTGGTACTGACCACCTGTAACGTTTCCTAGCTAGAAAAAACGTCAACTAACTCCTACCTAACAACATAAACAGTGACCTACGATTAAATGCAGCAAAAATGAGGACTGGTAATGATAATAATGTGTTGGTATTGAGTGGTAGAAGTTAAGAAATGTGCCACATATCTTGGTTTAAGCCAGGTACTTACACCATTATCAACCACTCTGGACGGCAGTGCATTACTCTGTGCAGGTAGAGCGCTCAGAGCCCGAGTCGGGGAAAGGTGGGAGGGATGGGGTGGATCAAACCATTTTTGAGGCAAGGGGGGGGGGGGGGGGGGGGATATAATTTTAAAAATAAAAAAATAAAAAAAAGATTTAAAAAATTTAAAAAATAATAAAAAAGGACATACAGTAAGAAAAATAATTTAAAAAAATCTCTCAAATTTTAGGGGTGCTGGGATTCAATTTAGGGGTGCTTCAGCGCCCCCAAAAATGGGCTAGAAACGCCTATGGTTGGAGATATCAACTGCCTTCTCTCCAATATAATGGAACTATCACCATGCAGAAGGACGTGTGCATCTACTGCTCGCTCATCTAGCACCACTGAGCTATAGGCCATGGTCAAGCATGGAAAAGTAGCGGAGGTAGCCACAGTTAAGCTGCCCATGATGTACTCAACCTCTTTGTTCTGTATACAGTCAGATTACAAGGAATTCATCACCTCCAGTTTCAAACTGATACATGCAGTTACTTTCTCTTTTATTCAGGTCTATTGGAACACAAAGGCATTATTCTCTTCCCATATAGAGATCATCAGGAGACCAGAGTCTGATTGTTTGTTCTATCTGTAGGTTGAGTCACTATGTACATACTGTATGTTGGCTCTATACCAGAGAACATCATGTACATGTAGATGATAATACAGCACTTAAATATTGTTGCAGATAACTCAAAGACAAAACGTGAAGGATAAATAAAGCTCCTCACACCTGAGCTACCAAAGACTGTTCACAAAAGAGAAAATTAGTCTGTAAAGTCAATATCATCTGATCTTCATTAGTGGTTTTCAGCAGATTCTCTCCCATGTCTGCTGGGAAAGGTTTATAACATGGCAGCAGTTTTGTCCTATGTCTCTTTACTACAACCCAAACCACAGTCACACACACAGATGCATATTTCAAAACTACTGTATGCTTTTGGTTTTTCCCATTTCTGTTGATAGGACGCTCTGATTTAGTGTCTGAACTATAAAACGTTTCACTTGCGCTGTTAGTCTTCTAAATATACCATGAATGAATTATACAAACAGATGAATACATACATTTGCAAACAAATCAATTATTTACTCTTCATGCATGAGCCACAGCTGTAATCCATGATATAGTACAGTTTGTTCGGATGTAATCAGTTTTACCAGAGCTGGTTTACCTGTCTCTCTGATCAGCACATATCACATATTGTTTCCTGTTTATCCCCAAGGCTGAATTTAATCAAGATGACTTTTGCAAAAAGGTAATGCTGCATGTTCCTCTCCACCCCCTGCAGCCATTATACTATATACTGTATGTTACAATGGAAAGCGGAGCAGCATAGCCTTTTATACTCTCTCAGAAAAGAGAGGAAGGGATTTGTATGTAAAAATTAGCATTTATGCAAAGCATGAGAGGATTTCATGTATGAAAATGAGATTTACTGTAAAGAAACAGTGTACAGGATGTCTGGAGAGGTGTGTCTTTAATGCAGGTAGAGAACATAAGTTTAATATTCTGTGTTGCATGAGACATCCTGCTGTTATTTAAAGCAAACAGACACTCAAAAGGACTTGTAAATACTGAAGAGGAGCTGTCATGTTTCTGTTTACAGTAAAATGTTCACACAAGCAGTAGAATCATGACACAAACATGTCTCTGTTGGATTTTTGATGTGATGTTTTCTTGAATTTTTGTGTTAGAAATTCAAATGTGTTTCTCTTTAATACATCTAAATAAAGATATTAAACATGTAAGTGACAAAACTTGGATTTTAACAATACATGAAGCAAAATTGATGTTTTTTATGGTTCTTGTTATGGTTCTTTTCCTAGTTCCTCTGATGAATTTAGCTCACAATGCCGGTTTGAAAAACTACATTTAAAAACATAAAAAATAATGGAACAAAATAACTTTATTACAATATGAGATGATATTCACCTTTTCCTCTAGTACAATCGGCACTACTTTACATTCTCGGGAGAGCTTGGTAGGTTGAAACACTTTTTTATTGACACAAAATAATCTTTCATTACTCACGGATTCTTTCAGCAGTAACTTGTTCTGGGCTGGAAAAAAGCAAAAGTAAAAAATAAACAAAAACCCCAAAGAAAATCAATGAAAACAAAACAAACAAAAATAATTTAATTGAAAAAAAAAAAAAAATGCAGTCTAAATTTGAACACCAATGTCACTTGTTTACATACGTCTCTGAGTTAAAACAAAGTACTGTATTTTTTGGGGGTTCATTTCATTTTGAAGAAAAAAGTAACAACCTGAGAGTTAGCAACTTTCAAATTATTCTCAGGGGTTGAAGTCAAGGCCTACATGAAGTTCAAGCCTTTTTTTTTTTTTTTTTTTTACATTGCTTAATTCAGATTCAGATTTTTTCTATCTCTTACTAGGCTAAACACACCTTAAAATAGTTTGATTTAAACATTTTATTAACATACCATTTACTTTAGCAGTCTAAATCCCAGGCTAAACATGACTCGTGGACTACATGTTAAATGAAGTTAATAAAATAACTCACATAGGAAACACCTTTGTTTTGTTTTTGTGTCCTTTTTGTTGATTTGTGACAAGTATAGGAAACCCAGACAGCTAACACTAACACCAGCTGTCCAACAATATGTTTTTTTGTATGTGGCATCACTACAAAACAGTATGGTGTCCACTTTGTGGTTGAAAGTGAAAAGTGTGTAGCTCAGTGTGAGCATGGTGGCACAGACATAGCTACTTTCCAACTTGATAGACTGTCCCAGCTGTCCCCCTGTCCCAACAGGCCCTGCTGTCCCCTAGTTAGTGGTGAGCTTGAAATTATAGAGAAATTAGTGAATGAGGCCTCCAATAGGACATTTTAATCAGGCCTTACATTTACTATTTTAATTTAATCTGACTGAAAATGTTTTGGAAATTTAAATTGGAACCACCTAAATGTCCTGTGTTTCACCATGTTGAACACATTTCTTGATATCAATAAACAATTATATGAAATAATACATATATCAATCTCCTAATGCATTCACAGTTAACAGGGCAAGCCTGCATGGCTCCATATTTTCCATAATTTTGAGCAGGTTTATGGTTTTAAATAACCTCACTCACCTTACTCTCAGTCACAAGAAATTACTCTGACAGATAATTCATGTAAAAACCTGCCTCTTCTATCACTCACTACAGAAGAAAAATAGTGTATACGCATGACAAAATGTGTTTCAAACTCTGTTTTTCATTTCTGCTGTGTTCATGTATTAATTTGTTCAGTCAGTTATTAGTTTCACAGCACCATGGGAGAAACTATTAAATGGTGTGAGTCACAATATCTGAGATACA